TCAGGGGGAAGAATGAGAGCCATGACCCGCGGTATGACATAGTGCTTATGCTCTCTCAGCCTGTGGTCATTGAGATGTAAAACTATCACAAAGACTCTTTCTCTTTCTTCTCCTGTGCTCTTGGCTTTTCTCTCGCTCCTGCTCCCTCTCTCTGTCTCTCTCTCTCCCTCTGCAGATGGTGTCTTGTGGAGATTATGTTATCAATATGTGTGCAGTGTGCACTGCAGGTGTTTAACATAACACCTTTCACGCAGAGCGATGAGGCAATGCATGAAAATTATTTTTATATGAACGCAACACACTTACATGCATAATACACAAAATATGTGAAAGTTCTACTTTGATACGTAATTGTCATAAATGTATGAGAATGTGAGTGTAAAGTTTGTATGCAAATGTAGATGTTACGTGCACATCAGGGCATATGAGAAAGCCGGTTCAAAGCAGTTAGCACAGTAGCTCTCCACACCTGCCACACTTCACACTGTTAGGTGTGTGTTTCTTTGTGCATGTGTGTGTGCGCGTGTATGCAGGTCATCTCAGCCAGGTCTTGCTGCTGGAAGTGTCAAACTTATTAGTTCAGAAAAAGCAAACAAGAAAATCACACATTTACCATCAGCAGGTAAAAATAGAATTGTCGGTCACAGGTTATGATTTTGAGGCACTTCGACATGTCTCTGTGGAAATAGGCTACAAACCCGCCTGTAATTTACAGGAGGTCTATTTGTGGTCCTGTATTGCAATAACACAGTACTGCTGAAACAGCAGTTGATCAAAGTGACATGCTCCCGCTATCTGTCCACTAAGATAGAGGAACAATAAACAGTTTAACCATCAGCCAGGATGTCATGTTAATCATACAGTCATTCCCAGCTGTCATCAACCTGCCGCCCTGCAGGAAAAAAGATGACCTCATCCCACTAGCTCATCTATACTCTGTCAATCTACACATTTCTGACAGACGTGGCCCACTCTACCCCCCTAAATCACACACACTCCCATGGTTTCTCCAGGCTGCAGCACACCCTTTGTGGAGCTGAGTGGTACATGTGTGCAATGATGTCATGTTAGGATGTTGGTGTGGGGGGGAGGGGGGGGGGTCACATTGAGATGCTAATGTCCCCTCATAGTGGAAGGGACAGCTGGAGGGGCGCAGAGGATGGCGTCATGTCTCCCCCGATATGAACCAGAGAAGAGAGCGATGGAGGGAGGGATGGAGGGGAGTGGGGTATTCATTCAGGCAGATCAATGCCCCCAGGCTGTGCAAGGGTGGGTGGGTGGGTGTGTGTGTGTTTGTACATGCCTGCCTTGTGTGTTTCACCCCTCTGCATTAACAGATGAGTTAAAGAGGGCAACTGAAAGCTACACAGAGGCTGAAACACACACAGAGGTGAGAGGGGAGAGGTTGAGCTTGTATTGTCGAGGCAGTCAATTGTACCAACAGCAGTGATGTAACAACAGAGCTCCCATTAACCATAACTTCCAGGCAGGTGTTGTGGTGTCTCTCTTTGTCCGGTCAATATCTCTGGGATTCCACATCCATTTCACCATAAAGCTTTCTGCATCGATTCACGCAGCAGCATGACCCCATATGCCAGAATTTGATCCAAATATCTTCTGCTAAGCACACACTTTTCATGTCTGTGGGATGATAACCTGCACTTTTAAACTGCAATGAGAATATTAAACTAGTTAGTAGGAAATGGCTGATGAGGAGGGGGACCACCGCTTGCTACCAGCAAACAAAGGAGGCCTGAGTGCTTGGCTCTGACAGGGCAAGAGGAGAAAATAAGCAGTTGCATGTCATGAAGTAGGCAGAGGAAAACGGAAAAAGGAAGTCACCACTGGCAAGCGTTGCTGATGGCGACATAGTGCCCTCTTTCCTGGTTGTATGTTTACTTTCTACCCAACCTTTTCTTTTTCTTTAGTTTGTGTGTGTGTGTGTGTGTGTGTGTGTTCAGAACTGGGTTGGTCACATCCTGTCCAAGTAAAGTTTCCAGAAATCAAAGATGACATGACATAACGCTGTGCAAAAGATGATCTAGTCGCCCCCCCCCCCAAAAAAAATAGTCTGAACAGTGTATTTTTGTGTGGCATGACATCATCTTATTAGCGTGTGACTGCAAATGACGGCTTACCTCATTTGCCTTTATCTCCATTCAGCAGAAAATGTGTTTCTGTTCATTTTTAAATTAAACTGTAGGGTATAGGATCCAAGCTGAGACAAGCATGACGTCACCTCTTGATACTGGAGTTACCTTCATTCTTGCAGGCAGTTAGGTTTATCCCTTGAGTTTAATGTGTTAGTCTCTGCTGATTGTCACGCTGCGCTGAAGGTGAACTCATCTCTCCCAGTTGACTTTCTGATGTCATCTTCATGGACAGCTGGGCTGGTGTGTGTCACAGGGTATTTTCAGTGACCTCAGTATGGCTGCACTGTGTGTTTATGTGCATGCTTAGATGGGAATGGACGAATGTGTCATCCTTGTCTTTTGGAGAATGTGAGGCTATGTCTCTTTGGGTTATTTGGTGCTAGCTGTGTGTGTGTGTGTGTGTGTGTCACTGTGTTCATTTGTCCTTGTTCAGTGTGTGTGTTTGTGTGTGTGTGTATTTTTGTACCATCTTGACATCACTCGGGACACGATGAGCCAACTGTCATCAACATCACTACCCTTTCTGGTCGTCATGGCAACCTTAGGTAGAGTGGGGTCAGGTGACGAGGTGACAATAACACGCTATCTCCTGTGTGACTAACATCCATTAGCACCAGCCATGTAAACTTTGACTACAAGGAAGGTGTTTCTAATTGTGCTGTGGTGTGTTGACGTCATGTCACTGTAATGTAATAGCCCTTACAAAAACAGGCAGGCACACTCAGTCCTGCTCTCTTATCTCTGACTTCAGTCTCCCTTAATGCCAGTAACACCTTACTCACTCTCTCACTCACACACTCTCACAGATGCCAGTCTTCATGCGGTTTTAATGTTTGTTTCAAACGAAATGAGGTCAGCTACAGTAATCACAGCTGTAATTATTAATCCAGACACACACGAGATCAAAGGGTGAGAATAATGTTAATATAATTAACAGTATTTTCATTCATGGGTTCACTTCCCTTCATACACACAAACACACTTTCTCTTCGGTGTTAAACACACACACACAAGCACCGTCTCCACTGTGGAACGTCCTGTCTTCTGTGCTTCTAACAGCTCTCTAACAAAGGGAAATGGTTTCCTTGTGACGTGAGGCCTTTCCTGTTGATTTAATGGTGGGAACATAGCGCTTCCTCACACAGATACAGTATATCCCTGTGGTGGGGAGGGTGGGGGGCTATATGTTGCACCATTTATTTATTTTGCACATGTGTTTGTGTGTGCACAGGCTCCACACCAGCAGCTTGGGATCTGAGAAAGCAGGAAGTAACCCTTCAAAGAACTACCCTTCCTTCATCTGTTTTATCAGTTAGTGACATTGTAGCAGCGCCCATGGGATCACTAGAAAGAGGCTCTGGTGAAAATTGTACAATTCCAGCTCAGTCTAAAGCAATGGCTGTTTTATCTACTGTTTAGTCTATACACATGCTAGTGCAGCAGCTATCCCTCTCTGTCTTTGCATTAAGCTTTCCTTCCTGTATCTTGTCAGTGATCGCTCTTTCTGCATCCATCCTCCCCTCCACTCCACCCCCCGTGTGCAGCGCTGATGTCATTGCTCCGCCGGTTGCCATTAATAGCTGGAAACAGACAACCCTTCTTCACTTTGCTCTTAAAGGGACAGTGCACCCAGTATAGCGTTTGCTCATGAGTATGCACCCAGCCTCAGAAGCTGTGGTGTTGTGAAATAGCGTGAAATACCAAAGCTGCTATCCTCAGACCTCAGATCTGCTTTTTTGATCTCATATGTGTTGAGTACACAGTCCATGCTGCTGACACTGTGCTCTGTGTGTGTTGGCCAGCCGTTGTTACATGAGGAGTGCAGCTGGGTGTGTGTTACAACAGGAGGCAAAGTCCTGCCTGCACTGCGCTGTGTGTGCTACTTTAGAACAGTGATGTCATGTCTCACTCACTCTCACTTTGTGACCCTGTGTGTGTGTGTGTGTGTGTGTTTGTGCTACAGATTGGGTCAGGCAGGGCTGAACCTAGATTAGGTTATAATCTCCTTTCTGGGGCTCAGGGCTTCCTTGAAGCACTCCCCTCCCTTCTACACACTCCTCAGCGAGGTCATTACCCGCTCCTCAACACACACACACACACACACACACAGACACACTTCACCCCCACCTCCTCTGGTTGGCCCCCACCCTGTAGTTATACAACCATGGTACTGCAGAGTAATGATGTGTGTGTGTGTGTGTGTGTGTGTGTGTGTGTGTGTGTGGACATGAATTACTGACAGTGAGAGTGAATACTGAACATATGTTGACTGCAAGATTATGTGGTAATGTCTTCAGATTGTGTCTTCTTGGACTGTATCATTTTGTTAATTTGTGCATGTGCAAATGTATGACCGTGTGTGTGTGTGTGTGTGTGTGTGTGTGTGTGTGGTTGTCAGGGGGATGTTACTGGGCCTCGGTCCTGGCCCTGCACCTGTGGCCTCTCTCATTCCCCCAGCCTGACGCAATGCACTGCTACAGGACATGAGCTCATACAGGAAACAGAGCCACACACACACACATAGACATATATGCCAAAAGTGGAGCCGCCTGCCTCTTAAAGGGCCAGACGCGCACATTCCTTGCCGCCCAGCAGTTAACCTAACTCTCATACAGAAGCACAGAGAGCCTCTTTTTTGCTCCTGTTGCACTAAGTAGGACCCAGACATTCTAGCCCAGATTCACCTCTATTGGCCTGTGGAGTGTCTGTCTGCTCTGCTAATGTTGGTGAAATGTTCTTGATGAGTTCATGGGACTCTTTGCAGAGTTCCCAATGTATTGCACGACCGCTCTGTGGAAAACCATTAGTGTACCTTAACAGTTCTCTCCTTCTCTTCTTTCTCTGTAGGAGGTTTTGCTGCTTTCTCCTCCTGTTTCCCCGGCCTGTGTGAAGGGAAACCTGCCACTGCTCTGCCTATGAGCTTGTCCCAGCCCTGCTTGCCTGTGGCTAATGTAGGGCCCACTCGCATCCTGCCACACCTCTACCTGGGCTCACAGAAGGACGTCCTTAACAAGGTAGAATTTATTTTGCATCTTGTCACGCATTTTACCACAGTCATATAAAAAAAAAATTGTTATTGCTACCTGGCAACAAACCATGGCCTTGATCTCATCTTATCTCTATCTCTGCAGGATCTGATGGCTCAGAATGGTATCACCTATGTGCTGAATGCCAGCAACACCTGCCCCAAGCCAGACTTCATCAGTGAGAGCCACTTTATGCGCATCCCAGTTAATGACAACTACTGTGAGAAATTGCTACCCTGGTTGGACAAAACTAATGAATTCATAGGTAAGAGGAGGGAAAATTTAATAAAACAATATTGTGTTTGGACTGATGTTGAAGATTAAGCACAATAGCCTCTAAGGGGTGGGGTCTTATAACAAAGAAAATTCATCTCAAATTATGTGTTGAAGAATGCCATGTTATTCGATACAACACATCTGCACATTGTCACAGTTAATAAACGTTCACGTGCAGCTTAGGTAACAATAGCATCAGGTAGAACACTTCTGTTCAGATGGCCCCATGTACTCTTCCAGGAAATGTCTGTTTCCTTTCAATAGACGTTGATTGTCTCCAGAGACTTTATGCTAAAGATGTGTATTCATATCTGTTCGTTTCCCCCCAACAGACAAAGCTAAGGTGTCAAACTGCAGAGTCATTGTGCACTGCCTGGCTGGAATCTCGCGTTCAGCAACCATCGCCATTGCATACATCATGAAGACAATGGGCTTGTCATCAGATGATGCCTACAGGTACGCTTGCTCCTCCCATCCAACACCAGCTGAGCTAAAGTGTCAGCCTGAGTAAAAAGGCAACTCACTGTTGAAAGTAATGCTAGATGTTTTTTTCATCCTGCCCCCCCAGTCGTGAGAAATTAAACTGTTAGGTGGCTGCCAGAGAGTGTGTACAAAAGACTTTGCTTTGCCTTGTCTGCACTAGAGGGTGACACAGGAGTGAATTTTCACTAGTAAAACTGTTCACACCCTACGCCTAGTTCGTCTAGGGTAATTCGGACCTTAAAAAGTTCCTCAGTATCTCATGAATTCAGACAGGTTATAATGTAATACCTTAGCCACAGAAAGTACTGAAACTGTTTACAGCAGTGGCCTTGTTATAACTTCTTTCCTGTGACTAATATTTTCTAACTCTTTTACTCCTTACAGGTTTGTAAAGGACCGAAGACCGTCCATATCCCCCAACTTCAACTTCCTGGGTCAGCTTCTGGAGTTTGAGAAGGGCCTGCGATTACTGCAAGCTCTAACTTCAACCTCTGATGACAAGATCTCTGAAAACAGCACTAAGCAAAATTCAGAGGTTAATGGAGTCAGCACAGGTTTCGAGATGAACGGTCACCGTAGCAACTATGACTCATCTGTGGGAGAGCCACACATCACGGCAGAACCAAAGCTGCCGTCACCCACCTCCCTCCAGCAAGGCTTCAATGGCCTCCACCTCTCTGCAGAGAGGATCATGGACACAAACCGGCTCAAACGCTCCTTCTCCCTGGACATTAAGTCTGTCTACTCCCCTAACAGTCCCCACTGCCCTAGTCTGGCACCCACACACTCTGAAGACGTCCCCAAGCTGTGCAAGCTTGACAGCCCAGGAACAGGAACCTCCAATGGTGTCTGCTCCCAATCTCCCGTCCTAGACAGCCCCAGCTCCTCTGATTCACCGTTCCCCTCACCAGGCAGCGGGGGCAGCATTGGAGGTTTGGGGCTCGGAGGAAGTGAAGGAGTCCATCGGTCTGGTTCTTCCTCATCCAGACCCAGGAGAAAACCCAAGCACTGCTCTGGCTGTTCCCCAATCCGCTCACAACCACACCAACCTCCACAGTCCCTCAGCTTGTCGCTGGACCACAAGAGCCCAAATCTGGACGAGAACCTAAAGGGCTCCCTGCTCTTGTCACTACCATCCCTGCCCACCGTGGGGTCTGGGGCCATGTGGACCAAACACAGAGACACTGTCCAGGCCACCACTCCTGTCACTCCAGTCACCCCCACTACAGATGCCCCTGGCACTTTGGGGCAGAGGAGGGCGGTAAGGGAGAGATGGAGCTGGGAGGAGTGGTAGGCGGACGGGGAGATGAGTCGTCAATGAGGTTTGGGAGCAGCTCGGCGTATGTAGCGTTTGGGTGCAGCGAAGGTGTGCGATTACGAGACAAATCACAAAGGGAGAAGCCCTCTGCCCCACAGACGCAGAGAGACCACCGTGACTCCATGTTGTCGTCCACAGTGACCATGTCCAACAGCGCGAACACCAGCGGGCCTGCGTCAGAGAAGCAATTCAAGCGTCGCAGCTGTCAGATGGAGTTCGAGGAGGGCATCTCAGAGACGCGGTCCCGAGAAGAACTGGGGAAGATCGGGAAGCAGTCGAGCTTCTCTGGGAGCATGGAGATCATTGAGGTATCTTGACAGATAATGGGGATGGTCAAAGCCGTCCCTTGGGGGCAACAGTGGACCTGGTTAGAGGGATTGCAAGAAGAGGACATATGACGAGACGCAGAGGAGGTTTTTTTGTGCTCCTCACAGACAGTGTTATAGACTCCAACGGAGAGAAGGACAGATCGACACACAAGTGGAGCGTTAATGTGAAAAGGTTAGCAAGCAAGCTAGCATTCTCACCTGGACAGACAGAGCCTGTGACGTGGCGCTTAGCAGACCACAACCATCCTGAACTCCCATACAAATCAGAAGAAAAGTCTGGGGGGGTTGTGACTGTAGGTACTGAAACTCTTAATTTGTCTGAGCTCTGTCGCAGATGAAAAGAAATGACCGAGGGCAAGTGTCAGGTTGTATCCTAACTATATAGAATATCGTTATTTTGACAGAGTTCGGACAGAAACTGCTTGCCTGCGGTCAAATGTAATGTGTTTCAGTGGGTGTGTAGCTTGTGATTTGAACCAAGTCCCATGTTTCCTCCCAAAGCGTCACCCAAGTGTCAGAGAGCATTGCACGGCTACATGCTCACCCACTTCCTGGTGGCTCTGCCTGCTACAGACTCTGCATAACAAAATCAACAGTGGCAGACTTCTTAACAGCACCGCCTCTTCACATCAGAAGGCAGATAGACTTCATCTTAAGGTGGTACTGTATCCAAATAATGAAGGATTCTCAGCATGTTGTTGTTGCTGAAAAGACTTGAGTTGAAGACTCTTAGCGACAGGCTAAGACCCCCCCCCCCCCCCCCAAAAAAAAGCACAGTGTGTCTTTCCTGACTTTTGCTCCCTTGTATCCAGTGTTAACAGCGTGATTGGACTGAGGTTTCAGGATGGTGGCAAGGGTTTGCTTTAATGGCCCTCCAGCTCCTTTATAGACCCCCATACGCCTTCCCACTGCTCCCAGTCACCAACTAAGGTCACCACTGAGCATGCACCAGAAAGGCTGACTACAGACAGACAAATACTATATATACAATATGAATATATAGCAATTTTAATGGACTTCTTATGACCTTTTTTGTTCAGTTATAGTTTTAATTTATTGTATTGGTTCATTCTGGTAATGAGAAATAATATAATGTTTTGTGGATTTATTTCTTTTTTCTTTGTTGAATTATTATTATTATTATAATTATTATTATTATTATTTGCTGTATGGTATTTATGAACACACACTCAAACAAATACACACATTCAACAAATTCAAGCAAGCAATATGTGCTGTTCCTTCTTTGGGGAGAGTGATGTATGACTTTGAAATGCACTTTTCTGCTTTCTGATAACCAAGTTCAGATACCCCTTACACCCTGGCCACACAATACTCCAAAAGCCAAGTCTTGATAGTACAAATACAGAGCCTCTAGTGTGAGTTTGGATCTGCACTCTGTATTCATGGATTGATCACAATTGAGGGCTCAAGCAGATTGTTTTGTTTGAAGACAAAGTAGCCACACACAATCACTTGGGCTTGCATAACAACAACTGTATGCAAACAGATATATGCTCTTTCACATGTTTGAGATTTAAAGACTTGCACCACCGAGTGTCCTTTCCGAGCCAGCACCAATTCATCATCATCATCATCATAGCGCGTCCCACCAAAGCTGAAACAAACACACGCCCATCCCATACTGTATGCACTTATACATACTTTCACACATGTAAAGCATAGGCCCTACACACACCCTTTTGTTCATTCTCAGGGGATCTTTCAGTGAGCCAAGCCCGGCACAGGGTACACTGCTGCTGGTACATCAGCACAATGCATGTCCGTAAAAAGCTCCATCGCTTTCTCTCTGTTTCAATCTAATCTATTTTGTCTTTTTTTTGCTCTTATTTCTTATTTCCCAAAGCTTTGATAAAAAACAACATAACAAAATGGAAAGGAAGAAAAAGAGGATCTTCATATATTGAGGTGAAAGAAGCGAAAACTTTGCTCTCTTGGTGCGATATTTATTTAAATGTACAAATGTGTTGTTTTTCCTTTGACCCTTGATTAGCTTTTCTCTCTGGTGATCTTTGACCTTGGGCTGCTGCAGCTACAGTAAGTTCAGATAAATTCCTATGTTCCCCCGAGGCTCAAGCAACCTCTCCTCTCACCACCCATCTCCCTATATTTTTAAGAAATGTTGTTAGAATTATTTATGATATGTAACAAAGATGATGCAGGCTGTCCCATTTGCTAAAATTGTCGTTATTGAATTATTATTATTATTATTATTATGTTGTGTAAATAGCAACGCATCTAAGAACACTGATGAATTTAGATGAGTTTTTAAAAGAAAATCCTGATACCTTAGGCTGCTTGATGCAAAAAATACCTCAGGTTCCATTGAAAGGCTTTTCCTTCCCCTGTACATGTTTTGTGAAAATGAGACAAAAATACAGATATGACAAAATACAAACTCTTCTCTGTTTCTTCTTCTTCTTGTGTGCCTGCATGGGGGCTGAGTGGGGCTTGGAAGGGGATTCCACAGAACAGACCAACAACACATGACATCCCGAGTTCTGGATTCTGATTATTGATTTTGTGTTTAACCAACTCCACTCTGACCACATAACACAGCTTTATTGATTTTTTTTTTTTTCCTGTGTGCCAGATGCTTCGATATACTGATGGGATGGTGAATTATTTAATAGAGAAGATGTGTTGAAAATAACTTTCTAGAAAGGCAAACGTAAACAGTGGTGAAAGAAAGTGAAACTAGTAATACCACAATGTAAAAATACTCAGCTACAAGTGTAAGCCCTGTATTCATACTTTGTAGTAAAAGTACAAAGAAGTCGTCAGCTAAATGTGTCATGGATTGGGGCGCTGAGTGTAGACTGGGGCGAGGACCCAAATGCAGACAATGGCAAGGCGAGGAGGTTGCAGTCCAAAAATGTTTATTAACTCAAAAAAACTAACTTAAACAGGCTTACAAGGAGCTCGAGGCAAAGTCCAACAAAGGTAGTCCAGAACACAAGGCAATCCAAAATACAGGGAATAATCCAGAACTAGGAAGACAAGGAACAGGCAGGAACACTCAACTTTAGACGCAAGGACGTGACAAAGACTGGAGAGACAAGCAGGCATACATGTACACAGGGACTAACGAGCGGGGCGGGAGCAACACAGGTGAGCGGGATCAGGGCTAACGAGGCAGAGAGACAGCAGGGGGGAAACAGAGAGAACACTAGACAAGCAGACATGGGGCAGAGTGAATAACCAAGAAGACAGAAACACACACAAATTACAAAGAACCAGAACCTAAATGAGAACACAGAACTAGAACCCAGAGTACAGAGGAGACCAAATCACAATAATACAAACAAGGACCAGGAATGATTACCAAAACATGAACTAAGGACATGGAACTAAACTCAGACTCCCAAACACAGACAGGATCATGACAAAATGTACTTAAAAATGAATCTACAAACCGGAGAATGTTAGTTCAGTTTAGTTTAAGGACTAGAAACGGGGGTAAACAGCTAGCCTAAGTTTGTCGTGTCCATCCAAGAGTAACAAAATCTGCCTACCAGCACCTCTAAAGCTCATTAATCAGCACATTATTTGTTGTTTGTTTAATCTGTACAAAAACTAAAGTTGTGATTTTACAGGACGGCTGGACAGAGCCAGGCTAGTTATTTGCTTGTTTTCAGTGTTTAAGCTAAGCTAAGCGAACCTGCTGCGGGCTATATCTTCATATTTACCATACAAACAACAACAGTGGTATCAATCTTCATGTCTAACTCACAAATAAGCATGAAAAAAAAGTTCAAGTGAAAGGTGGAGTACATGAACAAAGTATTATAAATACAACTGTTTCGGGCATGGTTAGCTCATCACTGGCTAACAGAGGGAATATGCTGGTACACCACAGGGTGACGACTGGTCTGTGCCTCCATCAGCGATACAGTTCCACAAGAGAAAATGAGACACCAAGGCAAAACTTCACAGGTGAAATATAATATAATATAGATGTGTGTGTCTGAGAATAGAGAAGGAACCTTAACCACACCTAATGAACGTGACCCTGTTGTTCCCTGTCTTCTCTCAGATTGACTCAGTGTTGGGTAATATCCCTCTATCCCTCTGCTTCCTCTTCCACAATACACACACATACACATGACTGGTCTTCAGGTCATCACCTCCCCCGTTTGCCCCGCTCGCCCCGCTCTACCTCTTCCTTATCCGACTGTCTGTGGGCACAGGAGAGGGAGGTCGGCTGGTGAGGGCGCAGTGTTTGCCTATGATGTGATGTGTTTGAACAGTGCTTACCTCCAGGGTATGAGAGAATGAGGTAAGGTAGTGGTGTGTGTGTGTGTGTGTGTGTGTGTGTGTGTGTGTGTGTGAGAGAGAGAGAGAGAGAGACAAAGACAAAGAGAGGTATTTGCCCGCCGAGGACAAAGAGTACACTGATGTTACAGAAAAACAATGTACAAATCCAGCGGGGGGCAATTCATCGACTCCCCTTCAATGGGGGCTTGACTACAAAGGCAGTTTTGGTTTCATGATGTCATGGTGGAATTTCACCTTGTGCAATCAAACAACATCTCTCCGCAAACAAAGCATCCCTCCCAAAGCCCCAACATTTGGTTCAATCTGACCAGAACAACCAGTGGGACTGTCGAGTGAGGTAAGGGGAGCAGAAGGGTCCTTTTTAACACCCACACATGCAAAACCAGATGGCCCTTGGCCTTTTTCAGTGAGCACAATGCTGTCTTAATGAGCGAGTCCAATAGGGGCCAGGCAGAGGTAATGGCATTACCAGCATTACCAGCTGAGTCCCTCTGCTCTTCTGTGTGTGTCTTTATTTTATGGCCATCATGGGAATTCCCAATGACAAGACCAATGCGTAATGGAATACATGGTAAATCCCACTTTCTCACTTTCATTCTCTCTAACATGAGCAACTTGCCCGCCATGTTAGTGTGCGTACTGTATTTATCACCTGAATCATAACAGATAATCCTTTCACGATATCCTTTTGTGTGTGTGTGTGTGTGTGTGTGTGTGTGTGTTTGTTTTTCAAGGTGCCCTCAGCTCATATTATACGGATCTGCATCTCGGGTAACTTGCCGGGCTACAGTCTCTCCCTCTGCTGTGCTGAAGTCTGCACTTCAATGCAGGTTTCTTTTTGCCAATGTACTGTCCTCCCTTAGTGGCCGGAAATAGCTTTTTGATGCATTTTATTTTAGTTTTCAGTTTTCATTGACTTGAGTGCTTGCATGTCACTTTACATGTTATTTGTTCATTAAAACAAATATACGGGAAGGTTAAAGCCAGACAGCCAGCACGAAAGGAATGCAAATATGTGCACGTGGATTCAAAGTAAGTTTGTGTGTGTGTGTGTGTGTGTGTGTGCGCGCGTTTTTTTTTCATGCATATGAGATGTTCACAAGTATTATGCATTTGTGTTTGCATGTATGTGTGATTCATTTACAGATGGATGACAAAGGAAATTCCGACCAATGAAGTGTCTTATTGTCATTATCAATTAATGGGCTGATTTACTCAATCGTATGGTCAGTGACATCAGAAAGTAATGAAAATGCTCGCTACAATGTCTTAAAGCCAAAGGTGACGCCGTCAAATCACTTGTATTGTCCAAAACCCAAATAGAGAAAAAAAAGCAGCAAATCCTCAGATAAGAGAAGCTTGAAACAAGCGAATGATTGGTATTTTTCCCAGAAAAAAATATTTAAATGATTAATTCTAAAAATAGTTGCAAATGAATTTCTTTGTCTATCAACTAATGAGTTAAGCAATGAATGGTTTCAGTGCCCAATCTGCATTCGTTATGTTCTCATTTTGTTTTTTTCCTTTAATTTGTCACCTGTCATCCATCTATATGTGAAAACGTGAAGTTGTCCCCCCAATAGTGTTTCTAAATAAATTATGTAATTGAAATAAATATATTTAGAAGAGGCCAACTCCACTTTTGAATAATTCTTACATAACACTTTTTGAAGGTTTTGTATCCAGCTCAGTGGTCTGAACCACTGCATATACTAAACTACGCCTTAAATTAATTTTTTCCTTGCTGTTGGACTACCTTTCCCACATGAGTCCAACTGATTCCCAAATGTGTAGTTTTCAGTTGCCAAGCGTATGCTTGTGTTCGAACTAATGAGCAAGCCCAAACTGAAACTGACACACACAAGACAGCGTCTCACAAAATGCTGGATACTCAGGTAAACTCCCACTGCAATGTTACAGCAGTATCAGCTTGACATTGAACTAATGCTCGTTGCATGATAACAGTAAATAGACTGCATTTAGCTGACATGATACATTAGTGACAGCCTGTCGGCTTTTCTATGACTTTTGCGTATCTTTCATCTGAGAGGTTCAGCAATGTCAGCATAGCTAAATTTATCTGATGATAATGAAAATGGTTTGTGAGCTGCACTGAATAATATAAATTAGATTGTTGCTAAGCTTTATAATTATTAAACCGTAGTAAGTAATATCACTCTACTGAATGGGTCTTTCACCGTGGCGTTGTATGGCACCGTTATGTTGCATTATTGTATATTATGTGGGTCATGTAAGTTACAGCAACTTAGACTGGTGAAGAGGGCTGTGGAATCTAAATGTGAATGTTACGAAGCAAACAACGCCTGATCCATGCTGATCTAGCTGGCTAAAATCTACACTTAACATAATAATGGTACCAGCATCAGCTGGCAAAGGATAACATTAGTGACCATTCAGCCTTAGCAGGCAAGCTAACATTATCTAACTTGAGCCAAGTAAAACAGAATCACAATACATTTCACATGATTTGCAATAATGTTAGCTTACCTGTCCAATAGGATGAAAGCCAACTCTTCTGTATCCATAACAATGAAGAGGTCTCTCCATGACTCATCTTGTCCAACTCACTGTTGACCGTGTTTTTGCCCTATGTTGATCTGAATCTCGTTTGGCCTGACGGGCTTCAGCACATAACACTTTTTTGTTGTTTTTTATCCTTACATGGAGTTTGTGTTGGAGTCTGTGTGGTAGTGGGAGCCGGGGGGTTTTTTTTGGTGTTAGCAGATTCCATTTCATTAGCTGCGTAGTTATCTCTGTGTGTACAGAGTGTTCAGAATTGGGTGCGCGCATGAATGTCACACGTAAAACAATGAATTTTGCAGAAAGTCTGACCCAATTTCTCCACATAGTGGCTGTTCCAAGAGACCGAGAAAGCAGGCGAATAGTTCATTTTTATGGGAGGTTACAACCTATTCACAAATAGGCACTAAAAAAGGGATTCATTTCTTTACAAAACTACATATTTTACCTTTAAGTTGTAATGCAATTTGTACCCTTGCATTTTTGCAGTTTGCTACTTGTCCATGCAGTATGTGTGTGTGTTTACATGTATGTGTATATGTCTTTGTGTGTATTTGAATGAACAAATGGTCATGTTTT